TGGAGGGTGTACTGTCCCAAGCTTCAGGGGTTTTGTGGAGCTGTTTGCAGAGATACTTCTAGAGACCTGTAAGTTTTCAGTTCTTCCAAGGTGGTATGATCTAAAAAGAGGTATTTCCTACTCTCCTGGACTGTGCTCTGGTCTGTGAGTGACCACAAGCACTCTTTTCTGCCCTGCAACTATGAGGATGGTCCTCCTCCATTGTGATTATGAGCTCTGCTATGCTAGTGCTCCTGTAATACCCTTCTGAGCAGCTGCTCAACCACCTTATGATCTGCAGGCTTAGAGCTCCAGAAGCAGTTGCTGTAACTGTTACTGCTGATTCAGTCACTCTTAAAGCCTGCTCCTGGTTTGGTGTGGCTGGGTCTATGCTGACACGACCTGTTCAAGACTGTGCTCCACTCTCACCCAGACCTTTCCTGCTGACCCTCTAAGTTTCCTTGGTGTCTGTGGGCCAAGAGGTCTGGAAACTGCCACTGCTGCAAATGATTCAGTTGCCCTAAGGACTGCTCTGGGTTTGTGGGAGCCAGTCTACACTGACATGGCCTGTGTTGGATTGCACTCCTCTCATCCTGGTGCAACAGACCTTTCCTACCAACTTTCTGCATTGTCATGGGCTGGAATTTCTTTCACTGTCTTTTTATGGGTTCTGCTACTTTGTTTAACAGATTAATTTTTTAAAGGTATTTGGAGGGATTTGAGGGAGAGCTCAAGGGAGTCATTGCCTTTACTCTGCCATGTTGGCTCTGCCTCCCCCCCCCAAAAAAAACACAAAAGAGTAGTTTTTAAGGAGTTGTTTTCTTCAGTGGATTTTTTAATCTCCTTTTCCATTTGGTCAATTCTACTTTTTAAACAGTTGTTTTCTTTTTCTAAGCTATTGACTCTTTTTTTTCATAATTCTCTTGTATCACTCCATTTTCCTAGTTTTTCTTCTACCTCTCTTATATATGACGTTTAAGTTCCTTTTTTGAGCTTTTCTATGAGTTCTTTCTGGACTTCAGACAACTTCCCATTTTCCTTTGGGGCTTTGCCCACAGATGTTTTGACATTGTTGTCCTCCTGTGAGTTTGTGTCTTGGTCACCATAACAACTTTCTGTTGCCAGATTATTTTTTTGTTTTTTGTTTTTCATTTCCTTTAAATTTGATCTGTGCTCCCTAGGTAGAAGGGGTGCTATTTCTGGCTTCTTGTGCCAGGGGCTGCAGGCACTGGCCATTTACCTGGTGTGGCACTGAGGTTACCCTGAGGCCCACCAGGGGACCCTTGTGTATGGTGCTGTGCTGATGGGGTGGGATGGGGGTTGGCTGATGCTGCTGGAGGCTGTAGGGTTGTGGCAGCTCACCTGGTGTTGAACCGGTATCCTAGTGCTGGTGTCTAGCCTGGTGGGGTGCTTCTGGATTTCCCCAGGGGTATGCGGAAGCATGTGGAGATTTAGTCACTGGAGGCTGCCTATTTGCCCAGGGCAGTGCTGAAGCAAGTGGTCTGGTGCTGGTAGCTGCCTGTTTGCTTAGACACCCAGAGGGGTGGTGTCTACCTGTTTTCCTTGGGCTATGCTGAGGCAGGTGGAAGTCTGGCCACTAGAGGCTGCTTGTTTGCCCAGGGCTTAGACCTGGAGTCTGCCTTCCCCTGGTTATGCTGGGGTACATGGGGGTCCTAGTGTTGGCATTTGCCTGCTCCACTACCCTGAGGCTCAGGTTCTCCTACTGGTTTTGTATGGTGGAGTTTGCTGCTGGCTTGCTGGGATGCTTCCTGTCTTGGACTGTGCTCCCCTTTTATCTGAGTGAGACCAATGTTTCCTGCCAATCTTCCAGGTTTCTTGGGCTGACAGATTGTTCCATCCTGTCTTTTTACTAGTTCTCCTGTTCCAGGATTTGTTTTGGGGTGCTATTTTATGATTGTTTGGAGGTAAACATGGGAGAGTTATGGTGATTTATTGTTTACTCTGCCATCTTGGCTCCCAGAAGTCTATTACCCACAGCTCATTTTGAATATAGAGACCAAATGGGGTTTGGACCTAGCCCAAATGATTATACGGTATCTCCACAGTAGTGATCACCTTGACCACTTCCTTCTTGTTTGCCTTGGACTCAAGCTTGTCCATTTCACACACATCATGTAGGTCACACCAGCCTTATAACTTAGGAAGCAGTAAGGTAGCTAGATGGGTTTGGGAGGGTCATCCTTGGGCACTCAGCATCTGCTGCACGGATCAACAGACCCATGCCTGGAAACAGAGAACTTACAGTAGAACATGCTGTTGCTATGACCAAGGCAATTTCTGAGCCCAATTCTGAACAAATTTCTACTGATAGGAAAGTAGGCATATGGGTCTGTGACTGATGTTCTCTTAGTTGTCCTTTTAGAACATAGTAATGAGGTCCAATATTTTTCTCCATATTCATATCTTCAGATACTTTGACAATTAACTCAGCAAAACAGTCATAATCAGCACAGGCCTCTACTTTGTAAATTGTCCCAGTCATCTTTGTCTTCTTTGGTTTTGTTTCCACTGCTGAGACTGTGATATTACGAGTCCCAGTGTGGTATCTCAACCATTCTTGGGGATGAAAGGAGTTTTTTAAATTAAAATCTTTGTAGATATTTTCCATCTTTCTCCCATTTTTTCAATTTTTTTGTCCTCCTTCCAGTTCCATCCTTAAGCATCCTAAGGGTTACTTTGCTCAGGTCTTTCACCAAATTTTTTTTAAGCTAGTTTTTCTCACCATTGCTTCTAATGCCTTATGAGAAGCATCAAGTAGTGTTACAACCTTGCACCATACATTCTGTAAGACTTTAGAAATTAGATTCTAACAGTGGGTGGCAGCATGCTTCATGCAGTTTGTGGGGTGAGAGGTGTTTGGCTGAGGACAGCTAATTACTTCCTTATCATTATGACTTTGTTCACAGTTCTGAGGCAACTGCTCTGTCTCTCACCGATCTGCTATGTCTCCAAGCAAGGTTTATTTCTTCAAGCAGTCGCCTTTTGGGTCTCTGCCCTTGCTCCCACCATTAGCATCCTAGGGGTGCCATGCCATGGCAGGGACCCAGAACACAAGGGTAGCCTGGCTCCTTCACCTCCTCTCTGGGATCTCCTGTCTTCTTGAACTTACGTTGTCTCTCACTAGGTTCTTCTTGAACTTGCATTGTCTCTCACATCCCCTTCTTCCATCCCTTAGGAAGAAAGGGTACTGAGCCTTCAATTGTGGTATCTTAGTTCTCAAAAGGTTCAAATAGCTAAGTACTGGTGATTCTCTTCTTCCCTAGGTTAGAAATTTTATAATCCCTTGGAAAACCAGCCATAGTACACTTGATATATGGAATTACACACCACAGCATCAAAATGAACATTAGCACTTAGAGAATAAGAATCACTAATCCTGAATTCTGGGTAATGATCTCAAAGGTATCATTCATGGTAAATACATAAAATATGTGCAATAGACGCAGTTTTAAAAATAGTATTTTATTACATTGCTTGTGTCAATGATTTAAAATGAAAATGGTGTTCATTTTATATCCTATGAACTTAACACATTTTTTTTTCTCCAATGAACACATCCTGTTCATTCCCAATAACAGTGATATCAGTAACAGTTCTATCCCCATTATGGTTGTGGAACATACTTTTTTTTTTTTAAGTAGCAAGATGAGGCAGTATATTTTTACCCTTCCTCTTTGGCAGTGTAGTTCAATGACTAAATTTTAATTCAGAGCAACACCACTACATAGCAATAAATCTTTTTGAAATAAATGTAGCATGTTATATTAATCTGTCCCTCCCACTACCATACTCCCAAATAAAACAAAAACACCCTTAAATAATAAAGCCCTTAATACATAATTTCAGTCACCTATAAAAACAATTTCCCATATTGATTATATTTTAAAAATGTTTCTGCGTCTTAAATTCCTCACCTCTCTGTCAGGAGGTGAATAACATGTTTCATCTTCAGTCTTTTAAATCTGTGGTTTATAATTGTTTTGATCAGAGTTAAAGTCTTTCAAAGTTGGTTTGCTTTATAGTGTTATTATCATTGTATAAATTGCTCCCCTAGTTGTGCTTTCTTTCCTCTGTATCAGTTCATAGATGTGTTAGCAGTTTCCTTTGAAGCAGTCCATTTCATCATTTCTATGGCACAATAATATTCCACTACTTTTATATATCACAATTTGCTTAGGTATCTGCTTAGTTTCCAATTTTTGGCTTCTATAATAGAACTCCTATAGATATTTTGTACACATATGTCCTTTCCCTTTTTTGGTTTCTTTCTAGTATAGGCCTAGTAGTGATACAGCAAGGTCAAAGAGAATGCATATTTTTGTAACATTTTTGGGCACAGTTCTAAATTGTCTTTCAGAATGGCTGAACTAATTAATGTTCTTCCACCAGTTCACTAATGTTTTCCCACAGTCCCTCCAGCATTTATTTTCCTCTGTCAAATTTGCCCATCTGATGGATGTGAAGTAGAATTCCAAAGTTGCTTTAATTTGCATTTTTCTAATCATTATGGATTTAGAGCATTTTTCATATAACTTGGACTTCTTTTGAAAAGTGCCTGTTTATATGCTACCAGGGTGAATTGTTCTTGGTGTTACATATAGCCTTTACTCCTTTAGTTATCACCATAGCTTCAATCTGATGTGGTCTTTGGGACAGTATGTCTCTATTCACATTAGCCCACCCTAGTTGGTAGCATGTGTTGAATATGTAATTATCTAATGCTGCTACCCATCCCTGGCAAGCACTGTTTAACTTGGCATTGATTAGAATGTAAGTCAGCGAATTGGTTGGTCCCCACTTGCAGCCGCCTTCCATATTCTTGGAATAAACTTCTCTGTGATAACTCACTTCAGAGTCAAGTACTACATCTTGTTTATGGTGTATTAAGTCTCGCTGTTATTCAGACCTCTGCTGGCAAATGTGACTAGTTTGTCGCGACCATCAATCTCTTGTAACAGGATTTTCCCCATGTCTTCTGGGCTGGATTCTGTGTAGGGCAGAAAGCTTGTTAGTATCTGTATAGTCCAACACCGCTAAATTATGAAGTAGTTGGACAAGACTTTAAAAACTTGTTCATATCTATTTGTCTATCCATCTACAAAGGGCTTTGCAGGTATTAGTACAACTTTGCATTTCCTGCGCATTTGCTAGTAAGGCCTCTTTAGTCATCTATGCACAAGTGAGGTCTTTCAGTCATTTAGCAATGGCAACATCTTAACAAAATTGTGAAAACACCTGCCAAATCCTAGAAACTCCTTACTGGTCAAGTCAGAAGAGCTTGTCTTCCTTAGGTCAGTTCACAAACCTTGTTGGGATGCTGTATGACCTATGTATTTGACAGAAGCATGGCAAGATTGGCACTAGTCAATGGAAAGCTTCAAACCATTTTCTTCCAGACTATGGTTCTTAACTTTTATTGTGTTATTGACCCTTTTGGCAGTTTGACGAAACCAAGGGATTCCTTCTAGAATAAACTTTTAAAATGCATCATATAAAATACATAGAAATATGAAAGAAGCCAAATGTATTAAAATATAATTTTTAAAATACTTATAAAAAGGTTCACTGATCCCACATTAAGACAGGTTGATCTAGACAGTCCCAGACCTTTATCAGTTTCTCCTTGTATTCTTCTACGGTCTTCCCAATGACATGAATGCCTATTCATTTGCTTTGACCATTTATCTGTTGGGGAATTGATCTTGGTGTTACATTTAGCCTTTACTCCTTCTTTAGTTGCCACTACAGCTTCAATTTTATGTGATCTTTGCATCTAATTTATATCTCTAATTATTTCATTAATCTTTAGAAAGTGTCAGGTGCTACTAAGATGCTTGGGGAATACACAAAACTGCTAAGTCCAGTCAGGCAAATGAAAGCAGACTCCTTGTCTTCTGCCACAGGAACCCAGCAGCAGCCAATGAGAACCTCTAGGTGCCTGATAGAGAATCCAGAGCTTCTTGATTTCTTAGCAGAGTGTCTCACACCACTTCTTTGCTTCAAAGTCTAGTAATCTACACACATACATAGCTTTCCCCTCTGTACCACATTTACAGGTGGTACACATGGGCTACCAGACTTTACAAGAATGCCATTTGCAAGGAATACCAGCTGCATCTTGAGATATTCCCTGAGGTCATCAATCATAGATGAAGAAAACATTCTCAGCTCTTTCCTAGAGTGGTTGGGAGCTGGTCAGCTATATCCCATGGGTTGCTCTTGATCATGTGGTAAGAATACATCTGCTTTCTTCCTGAGTTTCTGCCTCAACCATTATTCCCCATGTCTCAGCACGAGAACTTGATTACACTAATAGCTGCTAACACAAACAAAAAAATAATAAAAATAAGTAAGCAAAGGAGAGAGAACCCAATATAGATAGCTACTATGGGGATAGAAAAGAGGAAAGACAATGGAGCCAAAAAAGCCACTCCTTTTTCAGTGAAAAATATCAAATGGTCCTAAGCACAAAAAGAACTCTTAGAACTTAAAAAGGACTTTACAAATCAAATAAGAGAGATCGAGGAAAAATTAGAAAAAATAAGAGCAATCCAATAAAATCAAGAAAATCATCAAAAGAAAGTCAACCAATTTGAAATAGAGAATCAAAAACTTAAGGAAGAAAATAATTCCTTGAAAACAATAATAGGGCAAAGGGAATCTAAGGACATTCTAAGACACTAAGAAATAATAAAACAAAATCAAAAGAATGGAACAAAGAGAAGAGAATGTGAAACATCTCATCAGAAAAAACAATTGATCTGGAAAACAGATGAAAAAGAAACAATATAAAACTAGTCTGACTACCTGAAAATTACAATTAAAAAATGTATCTTGATACAATATTAAAAGAAATTATCAAGGAAAAATGCCCTGAAGTTCTAGAACAAGAAGGCAAAGCAGAAATAGAAAAAAAAATCCACTGATCACCACCTGAAAGAGATTCCAGGAGGAAAACTTACAGGAATATCATAGCCAAGTTTTCAGACTCCCCAGTTAAGGAGAAAATATTGCAAGCAACAAGAAGAAAACAATTTAAATATCATGGAGCTACAATAAGGATTACATGAGACCTAGCAGCTACTACTTGGAATACTATATTTTGTAGAGCAAAAGAGTTGGGTTATGACCAGTATAACTTACCCAGGAAAGTTAAGTATAATCCTGAATGAAAAAAAAAAGCATTTAATGAACTGAAAGACTTTCAGGTATTTGGAACAAAAAACAGAAATTAAGGGAAAATCTGACATATAACATCCAGGAGAAATATAAGGTAAACATTAAAGACGAATTATAAGGGACTCAATAAGGTCAAATTATTTACTTCTCATATATGAAAATATCAGCACTTTTATAACTATCATCATTATTTGGGTAGTTTGGCCAATTTTTCTTTTTAGGGCATTTTTTCTCCTCATTGGCTTTTTGGACCTCTTTTGCCATTTGGGTTAGGCTATTTTTTAAGGTGTTATTTTCTTCAGTATTTTTTTGGGTCTCCTTTAGCAAGCTGTTGACTTGTTTTTCATGATTTTCTTGCATCACTCTCATTACTCTTCCCAGTTTTTCCTCTGCTTCTCTTACTTGCTTCTCAAAATCCCTTTTGAGCTCTTCCAAGGCCTGGGACTGATTCATATTTTTCTTGGAAGCTTTGGATGTAGGAGCTTTGACTTTGTTGTCTTCTTCTGGTTGTATATTTTGATCTTCTTTTTCACCAAAGATAATATAGTCTGACTCTTTTTGCGCTGCTTGCTCATGATCCCAGCCAATTACTTAAGTTTTAAACTCTTTGGTTAAGGTAAGAGTCTGCTTCCAATGTGGAGAATGTACTGTCCCAAGCTTCAGGGATTTGTACAGCTGATTTCAGAGATACTTGTAGGGACCTGTAAATTTTCAGTTCTTCCAAGGTGGTATGATAAGGGCCGGAGTGTTTACTCCTTTCCTGGCCTGTACACAGGTACTCCTTTGTGTCCTGTAACTGTGAGGAGGGGTTCCCCTCCACCACCACTACTACAAGCTCCACTGTGCCAGTGCTCCTCTTCACCCCTGGATTGCCGCCCAGAACTGTGACCCAGATCCAAGCACAGGCAAAGCAAGAGATTCCTGCCCCAGCACTGGCAAAGAGATCCCTGCAATCCCTCTCTGATCAGCCACTGGATTCCTCCTCAGTCTATGGGCTGGAAGCTCAGGAGGTAGCTGCCCCCTTCCCCCAGGGCCACGCTCTTGGGGAATGGAGCGGAGACCCTGCGTTCCTCTCTCTCAGCACCGCAGGAAACAGACTTTTCCCACTGATCTTCTAAGTTGTCTTTGGCATTCGTGGATTGAGGAGTCTGGAAGCCACCACAGATGCCCAAGATTCAGTCCTCTGAGGCCTGCTCCAGGTTAGCTGCGGCCTGTGTGCCTACACCATGCTGCGCTCCTCTCACAGCCCGGCATGATATTCCTTTCTGATCAATCATCTAGGTTGTTTTGGGCTGGAAATTTGTTTCACTCTGTCTTTTTGTGGGTTCTGTTGCTTTAAAATTTGTTTAAAGCCATTTTTTATGAGTATTTGGAGGGGTTGGGGGGAGAGCTCAAGCAAGTCACTGCTTTTACTCTGCCATCTTGGCTCCGCCCTCCTTTATTTGGGTAGTTTGAAAGAAAGGCTTGGGCTGAGCTGAGTATGATGGGGGTGAGTCTAAAAAAATAAAACTGTGTGGGGAGAGATTAAAAAGGAGTAATTATCTCATGCAAATGAGTCATAAAAGGAAAAACTGACATGGAAGCTAATAGATGAGAAGAAAGGTAGTGCTGAAACCTTAACCTCATTGGAAATTGGTTAAAAAGGGAAGACCATATATACCTAGAAGGGTATAAAAGTTTTCTAAATTTAGAAAGAAATAAGAGACCAAGGATTTGGGGCAGGGAGAGGATAAGAGAAGGACTCTTGGAGGGATGGATAGGTTAAAGAATAGGAGGGCAAGGTAGTGGGTAGAAGTAAAGCAGAGGAGTGAGGAAGGGAATAGGTGAGAAGGATGGTGAAGAGAAATAGGAAGAAGACAAATAAACAACAAGTAATTAATAGCCTAGAATGTGAATGGAATGAATTTACCCATAAAATGGAAACTGATACTAGATTAAAAATTTGAATTCAACAATATATTGTTTTCAGGAAATGCTATAAAATCAGAAATATACAGAAAGAAAATAAAAGTCAGGAGCAGAATGTATTATGTAAAAAAATCAAGGGTAGGAACCATGATCTCAGACAAAGTTAAAGCTAAAATAGATTTAATCAAAAGAAAAATGGGGAAACTATACTATGTGTCAGCAATATTATTCAATATTGTTTTAGAACATTTGAAATAATTAGACAGTACAAAATACTTGAGCATATACCTGCCAAAACAGACACAGAAACTATATAAATATAAACATAAAACACTTTTGATACAAATAAAGTCAGATCTAAATAACTGAAATAACATTTATTGTTCATGGACAGGTAAAGCCAATATGATTTTTAAAATTATGATTTTACCTAATCTATCGATTTAATTCCATCCCAATTAACTTACTAAAAAAATTATCTTACTGAGTTAGAAAACATAAAATTCGTTTGAAGGAACAAAAGGTCAGGAACTTCAAAGAAACCAGGGGGAAAAAATGGAAAGGAAGCAGATTCAATAGTATCAGACCTTAAACTATATTAAAAGGTGAGAGCATTGTTGAAGTATAAAATGGATAATTTAGATTAAATTAAAATTTTTCTTGTATCAATAAAACCCAAGCAGCCAAGAATAGAAGGAATTCAGAAGATTGGGAAAAAATAACTTTAATAAGCAGTCTCTCAGACAGAATGTAACTGAGTTTGAATATTGTTCTGGTGTAGGAAATGATGAGCTGGTTGATCTAGAAAAATATGGAAAGACTTGAAGATGCTATGCACCTTGAGATTAACAAATGACAGGTGGAAATAGGCATAGAACGGTCTTACATAAAGGTGTATGAGTGTATTTGTGTATATATGTATATATTTATAGATATCTATGTAAATGTACATATGTTTATATATACACATATATGTGTGTAAAATATGTGTGTGTATCTGTTCTTAACTGTAGCCTTCTTTAGGGCAGGGTGGGGAGGGAAAAATAAAGTAAAAAGTGCACAGCAGAGAAAAAAGAAAACTTACAAGAAAACAAAGAAAAGCTGGGTAACTCTGAAAACAATGTGTAGTATTTATTACATAGGCTTTCTTGAAATGAAAATTTATTGTTTTATACTGAATCTCTCATGTTTTGCTGTGTACATGGCAATTTTTTCTTTTCTCATTTTGTATTTAAGTATAAAATAAATTTTAGATATTTACAAAATAAAAAACCCACAAACCTTTCAAGTAACATATACCATCTGATCAATATATTGATCCATAATAATTATACTCAACAAATTGACCAATGTGAAGTAAAGTGTGCCTGCAGTATTTTGCCATTATTAATTCAAGAAGCAATGCTCTGATACTACAGTAACAATAAAACAAATATGCAAATAGCAGCAATGACAGTATTCCTTTTGCAACATGACAGGCAATTATATGGCACTTAATGTCAATATTGTCATCATTGAATGCAGACTTTCACATATAAATTCAACATAGGAATGTAGCAGTTGAGTGAAATGAGAGGAAATTACACATTGGAGAATTATCAACCAAATATAATAAATAAAAAGGAAAAAAGGAAAGAAGATCAAAGTAAAATAAAAAGCCAATTATTTCTTCAGGATAAGCTCTCACTTCTTTTTTAAAAATTTATTTTTTTAACCTTTTCTTTTTAAATTTTGATTTCCAGATTCTTTCCCTTCTACCCCTCCCCCAGACACTGAGAAGGCAAACAATATATCAATTACACATGTGAAATCATGCTAAACACTTCCATATTAGCTATATCACAAAACAAAGCAAAAGAAAAATTTTAAAATGAGAAAATTTAGTCTGTAATCAGAGTTCGTCAGCTCTCTCTCTGGAGATGTATAACATTTTTTTCAACATGAGTGAGCTTTCACTTCTAACAGTGGTGGTATGCTTCTGAAAGTATGAGTCAAAATCATTTGACTAAAAACCACCTTTCTCGATTAGCATTCTTTCTCCCTAGTCCTGCCCTCTGAGCTGTGATTCTCTTACTCGGTGACCTTGACTCTGCCTCTAATAAGCATCTGTTGTTTTTTTTTTAAACTTGTTCAGGATGGAATGATGGGAAAAGGGAAAACCTGCCTGATGGGCCACTTTATATACCAGGTATATCTACCATCAAATTATCTTCCTCATTTTATATACAGATC